TCGGAGGCTCCAACTCCCACATCAACCATGTTAACATCTGTACCACAAGTCCCGCTGGCTGGACACTTATACCCGATACAGACACAGGCACCGCCTCCTCCGATCAATATACCTACTGTATCAACGGCTGGCCAGCTGATCTTCCCTAGTGGCCTGCCTGAAGCTTGTCCCACCGCTCTGTCGCAGCAGCATCAGCAACATTCTGCAGCAGCTTTTGCAGCTGCCATGGCCGCCGCTAATTACTACTCCCAACCTACGGCTGCAAATTCCGTTGGGCCTATGGCCACTGGCGCTATGCCACACTCTCAGCCTCCTCAGCAGCAGCAGTTAATGGCAGCTGCTCAGTTCGCTAGTTTTCTTCATCACCAACAGCAGCAGCAACAACAGTCTTCTCACACACAGGTTAACTATCATTCAGTCGTTCTAAAGGTCTTTATTTAAACAGAATTTGATTGTCGATTGCCTAATCCTTTGGTTGACAGTCTCCCTTGCATTACTGATAACTTTCCAATTTTGCATGTCTCTTGTGCCTTAAAATTGGTATGAATCTAAAATAGCTTATGTCAAATTTGCTTGAAGAGTATGAATAATTCTAATGCTTGTAGGAATATGAAGAAAAACTTATTCGCACATATCTAGAGTGACAATTACAAGGCGATCCTCCCTCTGCTTCCATAGAGGTTAATTTATAAATCTCTTCCACTCACTTCTATGACTGAAATGTAAGGTACGCCACCAGGAAGAGTGAGGTTTGCTATAATAATACACTATTGAAAATAAATAACGACAAACATGATATTCCTCTAAACCTTTTGTAACAACAAAACAAAAGTTATACTCAATGTATGAAGACCAAGCTGGCGTTACCTTTAGTATGGTGCGTCCTCTAGCTCTTCCTGACACTATGACCAAGCTGCGAAAACAAGGTTAAACAATTTCAACAAGTTGTACCGTTGCGTTTATGGACTTTATCCAGTACACTCATGCGCAGTTTATATATGTCAAGGTGTTTAATTGCTAATTTTTTGTGGTTTATACGAAGAGAAACTGGGTTTCATTCCTGTAAAAATCTCACGTTCTTGTCCTAGTGTTAACGGGAGACTTTTACGGGAATGAGACCCAGCTCTGATTATGTCCATCATATGCTGTACGAAAGCTCAGCCCGTTTTCACCCGAAACGAGGGAATAGGTCTCGTGAACTGCGTCAACCTTAACGTCTTATTAAAGCCAAAAGGCTGCATTACAACGGGATTCATCCGTCCTCTTCAGGTGAGATCGATATAG